TGTTTCAAGTCCTCTTCACTTTCAGCAAGCAAGGTTGTATCATCTGAATATTGTAGGTTGTTAATGAGTCTTCCTCCAATCCTGATGCCATGTTTGTCTTCATAGAATCCAGCTTCTCGGATTATTTGCTCAGCATACAGGTTGAATAAGTATGGTGACAGAATACAACCTTATCACATACCTTTCTTAATTTGAAACCATTCAGTGTTCCCATGTTCTGTTTGAACAGCTGCCTCTTTCTTGGTCCATGTACAGATTCCTCATGAGCACAATTAAGTGTTCCGGAATACTCATACTTCGCAATGTTGTCCATAACTTGTCATGATCCACACAATCGAAAGCCTTTGTGTAGTCAATAATACACAGGTAAACATCTTTCTGATATTGTCTGCTTCTAGCCAAGATCCATCGGACAGCATCAATGATATCCCTCATTCCATGGCCTCTTCTGAATCCAGCTTGAACCTCTGAAAGTTTCTTCTATTAGTCCACAGTGTATCTAATATTATTCTCCAACACTATAAAGTTGGTCTTCCTTATTCATTGTCCAGATTTTCTATATATGAGGTGATTGAAAATGCCATAGCTTGGGGCAGGTGCACCTTAGTCTTCAAAGTGACAAATACATTATTGCCTACTGTTCCCATGGGCATTGGATGTTGATCCAAGCAGAGCCAAATCCCTGACTTCAATCTTAGCCTCCAGAACAGTTAGAAAATACATTTCTGTTCTTTAGTGTCACTTGTAGTATTTGTGTTATAGCAGCACTAGGAAACAAAGACATTCTCGCTGCGTCTCAAGTTCTTCATCTGTAAAACATGGTAGAAAGGTTGAATAAGAAAGCAAGTAATTCTAAATTTCTAAAATGATTCCTTTCTTCCATTTCCTTCTTTATCTTTTTCTTCCAATTAAAAATAGTTTGAGAGAACAAACAAGATGGCGGATCGAGTTGAAGTGTACTAAGAGCTCTGCCAACAACAGCACAGAATGCCTGACCAAGCAGGCTCAGGGAATGGTCCCAGAACTCTGAATCACATATAAAGGAATATTTAGAAGGTTGGAAGGCTTACAGCTGGGGAAATCTGTGGCAGAAGCAAGAAATCCATTGCTTTCTAGTCTGAGATGCTCAGCTGCTCCAGGAGCCACCATCTTGGGTGAGTCCAAGTGGGGGAAAGATAGGAGCGGCCACAGACGCCTGGCAGAACCGCAGATATAAAGGTGTGGACATTATTTTCTTGTGGTAGCTGTTCATTGGTCCCTTGCTGTCTGTGCACCTCCATTCTGGTGACTATAGGGGTGCCTGAGCTAGTGG